TAAGTAACATAACACCACTGTGCTTCAGTTTAACTCATCTGTAAAATGGGGAAATAATTAGCATCTCGTGCACTTTGTGATGAGCATTAAACGAGGTGATGTATATAAGCTGTTTAAGACACTGCCTGAAACATGGTGAATGCTCAATAAATATTGCTATTAACATTATTATTGTGGCTGATAACTCTTTATAATTTACAATAGTCAAGGCTTGGTATTGAAAATACTAAATATAGTACACTTTTTATGCCCTTATGTTATCTACATGGAACACTAATCCTTCATGTTTGGAAAAGTCTACTTCCTTTGTTTCTGATAGGAAACAGGAGAAAAGCATTGAACTCACAATTATGTAAGAGCTAATTATGCTACCTACCATGCCACATACTTGACATGTATCTCACTGAGCTCTCATCATAGTCCTGTACATAAATATTATGCACATTCCATACATGAGGAAACAGAGGCATGAAGGAACTTACCAAGTTAATACTGAAGTATTAGAGCAAAAATTCCTATCCAATGCTAAGTACGTCGAAAGTTTTTCTATCCTCCACCTAAGACTTTTATACCACATTTCATCTTTTACTGCAAACCAACATTCACACATTATAAATTAGGACTTGGCACTATAAGTCCTTAGAAAATTTGTATCCTTAAATTGAAAGACAAAACAGTTTAAAATATTCAAATATAGTCAAATTGAACTACTAAATCAACAGGAAATAAAAAGTAGAATAGGAAAATAAATTATATTTATCTTCGAATATAACAAGCATAATACCATATGTTATTTTATATCTAGCACTTCTCTTCTTCCCCAAATTAATAAGATATGGCTCTATGGAAACTTCTAATACCCAGGCAATTTTTAAAACTCCTATCCCTTCTAAAATTCTGCTTTGACAGTGGGATTAGTAAATAAAATATATTTACATTGCAATCTACCCAGACAAATGTATCCAAATACTAATTTAAGCAGCAGGAAAACATAAAAGCTATCTTATCCAAGCCAGCGTCCTAGCATACAGATGTTGAAAAAAAAGTTATAGCAAGGACATACTTTGAATATTTTAAGGCATATTTTCAGAGAAACAGGTTCACTTTCATTTTAGGT